AAAACCATGAATTCATTCGAAATAATTTCCATTATTATTGACGACTTCTGCCCATTTTACAGGCATTTTGCGGATTCCTCTTTCGTAGTAGAATTTTGGTTTGTGTGTGAGACAAGTGTGAGACTCAAAAATGGAGAACTGGAGATGTCAGCCGTCAGCCCAGTTTGAGCACTTTCTTCAAAAGAAACCCATTTTGGTGTCAATAGAAAAGTTGTAGAGAATCAAAAATTAGGCTTATAACCAAATTTTCAAAAAGATACACTTAGTAGTTTCGCTTAAAATGCAAGTTTTGTGAAAATTCGTAAATTTGGCATTTCTTGAAAACCAGCTTTTGAGTCGTTCTGAAAATTTGGATATAAGCTTAATTTTTGATTCTCTACAACTTTTCCATTGACACCAAAATAGGTTTCTTTTGAAGAAAGTCCTCAAACTGTCACATATGACAATAACCGGCAGTTTTCAATTCACCAACCCAATAGTATAGTAAGAAGTCCAGTAAGTTGATGGTTTAAAAGTTTGTTTGTCTTGATTAAAACACTTGTTCAAAAACATTAGGGTGATGGAAATGAAATCAGCGCTCACATATCTTTCCAAAAGTAAAGAGATTGCAAGCCTCAGCCAATAAGTGTTGTATACTGTTCGAAAGCTCTGAATCTCCTCTACAAAATAGTGCAAAAAGATTTTGAATTGAATTGATGCCTGTTCATATGCAAATTGCGCTACTCAATTTGCATTTAACTGTCTTACATCAAACAGTTTGGGGAGTTCTCGAATTTCGCAACTAGGGAAATTCCGTAACTCGCTCTAACTTACGTTTCCGTAAGTCAAATTTTATGATTTTTGTACCATTCTGTAGATCTTGGCAAGTGCAACAAAATGGTATCAAAAACATAAAAATTGATCCAACTGAAATTTGAAATTGAAACGAAATCGAGTATGGAGATTCATAATTTGAAATCAAAATCTGCCAAATAAGCGTAAAAATTGAATTGAAATTTCGAAGCTTTAGAGGACTTTAAAGAATTAAAGAAAATTGAAAGGGCGCTTTTCAATCACTGGGCTAGTGATTGAAAAGCGTGGTTGAGCCTAGTGTGGCGGTCTTTTCGGTAGTAGGGTCGGGGGTTCGGTCTCGCTCTTGGTTTTTGGTTTTTGGTTTTTTTCTTTAGATGTAATACTTTACCTTGTAACTATCCAATATAACTAAATCAAAAGCTTAAATGTTAACATATATGAAACGAGATCACGAAGAATCCAAAATAATAAAAATTTTCACAATGTGAACATCTGATAAAAGTAAAGCTCGTGCATTTTTTGCGTTTTTCATTTATCACAATGAGCAATGGACGGGTAAAACCCTGTAAACTATTACATTGAAAGAAAAAGAAATCAAGAGGAGGACCGAATCCAGATTTTACGACCGAGAGGCCGTCCCATTATCCACTCGGCCACTGATGCCCATATCCCAGTGATTGAAAGCACCCTTCGAAATTTCAATTTATTTTTTATGCGTTTGCAAGCTTATTTGGCAGATTTTGATTTCAAATTACGAATCTCCATACTCGATTTAGTAAGATGTATGTAATCCGAAAACGAAAGCTCACGGGAAGTTCAAGCCTTTCCCCAGTAAGTTAAAGCAGTTCCCTAGTTAGTTTTGCATCGAATTTAAACTTTTCTTCCAATCCCTTCAAGTTTATCTACTTAAAGAATGAAATCTCCCTTCTCAAACCTACCAATTTCCTGTTTTTTTAATATTCTTTTAACCTTCAGCAATTCCGCCAAAAAGCTTTCGCCGAGATGGGTCGAGTTGTGTTAGTGAAAGAGGGTGGCATCGATGGAACCCTTCCCGAGGAGATCCTTCGAAGATCCCTTTAAGTAAAGATTTTCAAGTTTATTTATTAAAATTCTATATACACTTGTTTGCACAATCTTGTCTATGAATAAATGTTTCTTGAAACTTTTTTTATTGATCACATTTCACCATTTTAACCGAGCCTTTGATTCCATTTGTTTGTGTGTCCGCCAATCTATGAAATTACATCTGTAACTAACACCTTTCTACATAGAAATAGAAAAGCAAAACGCAAATCTCAAGTTATTCAGCTGCTTTTGTTTTTGCACCAATCATTAGTATTTAGTGTTCAAGTTGACCTTCTTGAACTTTTCAATCGAAAATCCTTTTGGTTCAGCTCCCAAATCTCCTCGTTTTATTGCTTCCTGGGAGGTCACCATCCTATCTTTTTCTTGTATTCACTTTTTTTCAAAGCCATCTGTTCAAAAACAAAAGTGCTGAAGGCAATTTCTTCGAAACACTTCTATTACAGAAGAAGAGAAACTGCCCTGGATATAAATTCTTTAACTATGAGCTTTTTTCTGTGAATTCTTTCTCGATTCTTCGTTTGTTGTGTTTGTTTATTCTAGTTTATTCAACTTGAAGGTTAAATTTGTGAATTTAAACTCAAAAGTTAAATACTTTTATTTTTGACTAGATACCAAGAAAATTTTTCATTTTACAACTACTCATTGTTTTACATGTAAATTTTGTGTTCAAACAGCAAAAAGAGCAAAAGGTTCAGCTTATCCGTTGGCCTCGAAAGCTGGGAGAGCTATCATTTAACTTAGTCAATTGATTCATTGCCGAGTACATTGACAGAAGCAAGTTAGGTAAAACTTTAGTTCGTCTGGTTGTTTTATTTCTTAAAAATGAACAAACGAGCCAATACTTGATGATGGGTTTGATTAAAAAGGTAAATGATTTTCAAAAATTTTCAAATAAATTAAAATTTTTTCAGCAATTTAGGTTTTTTTGATAGATTTTTGATCAAAAAAGCTGTTTCTTGATCAATTTTCGGTACTTGTGGAGTATCCGGGGCCTTTCAATATCCGGGGTGGTAAAAATTTTAAGATCTATCTATTTAAGGGGAATGTTGTTACTATCTTAGCTGGCGCGTCACTTTTTTTCTTCAAAACCATTTTTTGGGAGTTTTATGTGTTGATATTTGGCCTCCTGACCTAGGAAGTGAAATTCGATAGATTTTACAAGTAGTATTCATTGTCACTGTTACAAATAGTCACTGTTGTACTTCACAAATTTATTTAATTATTATGTTTGGTTTATGTTTATGTTCTTGCATTACTCGTGCATCTTGTTTATTCGATGCTGGTATAGTCATAAAATTTAGTTACCACACACAAACAGAGGCAAAGCCATACTAACAAAAAAAAACATTTTTGCGCATTTGGTTGGCTTTTGAAAGTTAACCCCGGATCTTAAAATTTTACCCCACCGGATCTTAAAATTTTACCACCCCGATATTGAAAGACCCCCTCCCCGGATACTCCACAAATACCAATTTTTCAAATAACTTTCAAGTAAACAATGATTTCGAGACGCTTTCATGTTAAATTTGAATTTTCGTTTTAAATGTTTTTCGCGCGACGTCGCATTCCAAATGACGTCGCCACCATTTGAAGGTAGTCGATGGGAGCGTCACGTCGTCATTTCTTTTTCATTTATTTGTTTTTGTCAGATTGATTGAAAATATTGTTTTATGCGATAAATTTTGTGCTTCTCTTTGAAATGAGAAAGAAATCCATTTACATGTGGGAGCCGAATGGAGAATCGGAAACTTTTCGTAGCCGCATTCCGTATGGCCACAATGAAGGCCAAAACATAGGCACACTTTCTTTTCTTTCGCGATGTTTGTATGCATTTGTGATAAACAACTTACTCCAATTCTTTGGAAATTTCAAATTTCAAGATGGAAACTTTACAGCTAAACTGTTGGGGGTTGCTAGTTATCTTTTAATTGAATATCTAGAAATTTTCATAAAAACCACAAAATATTTAGTCTGAAAGTTTCAAAAGGTTCTTTCTGAAAATTTTGAAAGAAAAATCAGAAAGAAAAGTTTGGAATTTTTGTCGCTACTTTGTCTCTTTGCGTTTTGTTTTCATTTTCTGTTTTAAAAACCACTTAATGCTGTTTTTTAGATTTTGAACGAAAATGCCGGTCATTCAATCAAACGGTATCATCAAATCGTTGAATTGTGCTTTTGTGGAGTGCCATGTGAGTTATTTTGTACTAACTTATGCTCAAATAGTCCAATGTTGCGTTGCTAGGTTTAATTGATTTTTAACTAAACAATTTGCTTTTTTTAGTTTTTCCGGAGGACACGACTCGTCTCTTCGTTACACGTTTTGTCGCTATTTGACGGCGATGTGCAAGTAGTGTTACTCGGAAAAGCAAAAAAAAAGGTTTATAAAAGTTTATTTAATCAGATTTAAATGTTAGCTTCTAACTTATTTTTGCAACTTTAGATCCAGCTTTTCACCCAGACTGTCGCCCTGAAAAATGCTTTACGGAAATGGGTTTGACAGAAATGTCAGCTTCATCAAAGGTTAGTTTGCTTTACAATTTTCAAAACCTTATTTAAAATTGCAAGGCTGACCGAGCATATGACACTCAAAGGTGATGCAAAGAAAACCTATTGGCTGGACCCTACGGCGAGGTATTGTAGTACATGTGGCTTTAAGACTTGTTTTTGTTTCAGAAGGTCCTCATTCCCAAATGTCAGAAGTGCAAGTGGCCTTGTAAGTGAATTTCTTGCTTTTTATATTAGTTTAATTTAATTTCTTTGTTATTAAGTCAGATTCAAACTTTAACTAACACTCGTTATGTACTCAAATTATATTTTTAGTTACCTTCTACTACAAAAACCATGTGAATTGTTGTGTGGTCACGCTATTTGCGAACAATGTTTTAACCACCACAAGCTTCCGGGAAATGAAGTTGACTGGGGATACAAGTATGGCATCGTTTGTCCACTTTCCAATTGTCCAAAGAGCAATCTTCGTGACGCAGTCCAATTCCAAGGTACAAGAAGCAATTTTACTTGACTCGTGGTGGCACGGTCCGCTTATGGGTTTGTCTAATCGATAGATCCATAAATATTTCCTCTTTAGGTATTGTGAAAGGTGAAAAGAAGAAAGTACTTGTGGATGCAGATGGTTTCCAGGTATATTTTTTTCACAGATTTTTTTGTTGTTGTATTACTTCTTTTAAAAATCTACTTTAGAAAGGTGTTCATCACAGGGAAGAATTGAAAGAATCATCAAGCCTCGTCGATCCACTCAAGTAATTGAATTGTTTACCGTCTTTTTATTTATTTTGTTGACCTTTTGCACATATTCTTGTTATCCATTTTGTTATTACATCAAGCGTTTTTATAAATCAAACAAAATTTGCAAAGAAAAATATCTAGTTGATGAGATGTGATAATTCGATCGGCTTTCCAACTTTTAGGTGTGCAGATGAGCGATAATTTGAAAGGAATTACAAAATATCAATGTTTAATGAGTGTAACAGAGATTTTCGTTTACAGTGGTTTTAAAACAGATATTGGTGTTCAAATCGGACACTTTATGTAAATTTTTCCAGTAAAACAATGAACGTTCAATGCTATTTGTCATGACTTTTATCGTTTCGGATCCTCAATAGCCAACATCGTTTCACATCTGAAAGCTTTGTAAATTGAAAGCTGACTGTTAAAAGTTGTAACCAAACATCCCCAAATAAATTTGTATTTTAAGAAAGCAGATCTCGTTTTGTTTTAGCCTTAAAATCTACAGTTGAGGGTTACTTGAGTTACAAGTTTTCGTGTCACCTACCTCTCAATCTGCTTGTCGAACTTCCCACTGAATTGCTTCTTGAAATGTTCGATAGATCATTGGAGTGCCATCTCGCTTCCATCAATGTTGTCCTCGATTCGTTCGACTTTGGGTATGATTTTGGTCTAAATAGAGAAATCAGATTGGCTCTAAAATTTTTAGAGATTTCATTTCTATTATATCTTTTATACATTGAATATTCAATTGTTTCAGATTTCGTTTGCTTAAAGTAATGAAAATTGTAATTTTCAAGAATCTAATAGGATAATATTGATACAACTTTTGTAAACACCGTATTTATTCTAATACAGTCTCCAATATAAGCAATTTTGTGAAATGATTGAAAAATAGAAGCGCAGGAGCTTTAGAATAAATACGGTAGCTAACATTGTTTTCTCGAAATCCAAAAGTATTAGATAAATTCAAATTTATACAAATGTATGGCAAATGTTTTAAGTTAAACAAGTTCAGCACAAAAAACATAATCACCAGACGCTAAAACTAGCGGTTGATAATTTCGAGTATTACCACCAGTAAGGACCAGTGCGGCAAATTCGTATTGTCCAGCCACACAACGCAGATCAACGCTAAGTGCCATCGTTCCTTGTTTCAATACTGTATTTGATAGGCATTTGAATTTAAAATAGAGCCACATGGGTCAACAAGAACCAGTATCCCAAATTTAGTGCAAGTACGATGACATCTATTGAAAATTGATCGGATCGGCATGAATGCCATCGAGAGAAACCATTTCATTACATTGAATATTGCCTTAATTCATCGCAAATTATGTCATCACGTGGATCAATTGGTCTTTCTATTAGCTGAGAGCCAAAATCAGTTTTAATTTTCCCAAAACTCTACAAGATGTGACCAGAAAATTCACTTAGCTTTTAAAAAGGCAATTGGAAAAGCGAAAGTGGTGAAGGCGATCATTGGATCAGTAACCATATCTAAATTTTTGCACCTTTTAGGAAACTGTAGCAACAATCAAAATGATCTGCTACTTTTGTAAACTTATTGAAAAACTTTTTAACGAAAGATTAGTCATCAAAAAATTGAATCAGTGAAAACTTCTAAAGCACTAGTTGGGAAAAAAAGCTTCATTTCAACAAACTATTGAGCGATCCTTGTTTTTATTTCAAGTTCGACCAATTGATTGATTGATTGATTGATTGATCAATCAATCAATCAATCAATTAATCAAACTCTCAGAGTTCTTGAAATTCTCATTCTCAGTGAATCAAGTTTTCAGTCATTTGACAATTGGTCCTCAACTTTCAACATTTCCAAATCAAATTTCAGTTTCCAGCTCATAAGAGAAAAGTTTTTGCATCGCTTGGCAAGAAGTCGATACGATCATAGAAAACCTTCAATCGACTCTCATGAAAAGAAAAGGAAACGAAAAGAAAGGGAGAATAGGAAATTCCTTTGAAAAAGACAGACCACTCAGGTCGGGTAGGCTGGTTCTTGGCTTAAAAACTGACAGGATGATCGTAAAAACGTTCTTGATTGATTGCTGATCCTATAACGGCCTATTAAGCTACGGTACCTGGAAAACTGTGAGAAATGAAGCCCGCCTTCTCCAATCAGCGAACGAGCCGTCTCTAAAAGGCTTCAGAAAAATCTACCGTAGATTTTATATACCGTATTCTCTCGAATAGTCGTACACCCCGCCGAGCCGAGTTGATGACTATTTTACGGTTTCCAAGTTTTCGCAGAAGCTCAACACTCTAATCCCCCACAAGATCTCATCGTCAGCTACATTTTCCGACCCCACATCGATAGGTTCTGATAAGCGGTTTTCGAGATTTCGAGCAATTTAGGCAACGCTCAGGGTGCACTAGTATTAGAGAGAATAAAGTAAATACAGTATTCGTCAAAGGATGAGAAATAACCCGAACAAACCTTTTTGACTCGATCTTCACATGAACTAAATAAAAATACGCTTAAAAATCGTTAATTATAGACTCAAATCTAAAAGATTTGGATCCTAAGGCGTTTCTGTAAGTGCTAGGAATTGAGTAGTAGATTTTTCGTCGAAGCAGCGCGGAGAACCGAGCGTCATAAAATTGTGTGTTAGACTACGCGGCTGTACGGGGGCGCTACTATTAGCGCTACTATAAAACTTGAAACTCTAAGCCTACCTTACTTCTTAGTTTCTAATAGTTATATTATAGTTAGTTATATTATTAGCTAGTTATTAGGTTGAGGAAAAAGTAATGTCGGTTTTGAATTCCCGTTGTTGGCAATTTTCCATTTCTTTGCTTCTGCGATTTTTTTCAAATAGTTATCAGCTAGACACTCTATACTTTCATATTATATTTGACTTTTACAAATTTAACAATATTTTCAAGTAAAAAATGCAAGATGAAAAGTTTCGACTTCGAGCCGCTTTGGGGTATGATTTGATATGATGATGAACAAGGGAAACACCTTATGGTCCGGGCCTGGTCCCATCAGATTATTTTTTGTTTCGGTCGTTGAAGAGTTTTCTTATGGGAGAAAAGTTCGAGAATCGTGCACAGATCAAAAAAGCAGTCTACACTTATTTTGGATCGAAAACTCCCCATTTTTTTTTTGAGGATGGGATCAGGGAGTTGCGACAAAGATGGGAACAAGTCATCAATAATAATGGAGAATATCTCATTGATTGATGTGCGTTTGTTTATGTTTTTTAGCAATAAACAGTTTTGTGACAAAACCGACATTACTTTTCCTCAACCTAATAATAGTAATAGCATTATTAGCAATAGCTAATTCTATATTAGCTGTGAACATGAAAATATACAACATTTATTTTGTCCCTTTTCATAAAAGGTCTACAGCAGAGAACTCCGCTTTTTAGGAGAATTGCTTCTTGCTCAGTTTATCTCTAAGATCTAGTTTGAAGTCTTTGCTTTTTTCAAAAGTTCTCTCTTCAAAAACCCAATCAAATGGCTTTCAAGGTCAAGCACCTACCAGAGCGCAGAATGTAAATCACAAGAAAACCTTAGAAATGAAAAATTGCTGATTAGCAAAGAAAAAGAGAAGATATCATGTAATGGAAAATTGATAGATAAGAAAATTTTCAATAAATTTGTGTAAATTTGTTTTTAATTGAACTAGAAACTCTAGAAGTTGAAGCACTGAAAGTTTTGCTCTTTTCTCGTCGTTATTGGTCGTTGAAACTGAAATTGATGGCACGTTAGCACGAGTTTGATTGGATTTTGAGAAAACTAAATGCTCCGCCCAGGCGCCAAAATTCTACACTCCCAAAAAAAGGTGAAGCTGACAAAAAGGTAAAGCGTCTATTCATCATCGAACAAATGCTCAGAAATTCTCTTCTACTAACTTTTTGTGCTTAAACTGCGCAAATTCTTGTCTTCGATCGAGGAGTTCTTTGCACGAAACTGTTGTTATTTAACTGAACAAATTTTTACTTAAATTACAGCCACCACTACGACAACGGTCACCCCAACAAGCGTTCGCACAACAACTCCAAGCACAACAGCTCCAAGCACAACACAAACAAAAACGACCTCTACGACAAGAACGATAGGGACTACTACAGCAATGATAACAACAAGTAACCATTTTGGTTCTAATCTGCAATAAGGACAGAAGCACGTCTTCTTAACTTTGTAGAGATGACCGGCACAGCAACATCGACAGCAACATCGACAGCAACATCGACAGCAACCTCGACAGCAACATCGATATTGACATCGACGTCATCCTCTACGTCGACATCAACGACCACTCTTGGTGGTAAGTCTTTACCTTGAATTGGCTTACGAAATTGCTAACAAACATTTGACTTCTACCTCCTTCCTTGCCACTTTTCCAGTTTAACATTTTGTTTCACTACTAACAAGTTTTATCAAATCTTGAAAAGTCGTGAAAGCCGTGAGAAGACCTGAGAAATCGAGAAAAACATTAACTTTGTTATATTATAAAGCCAGACTTACTTTGAGTTAAACTTAACTTGCTCAATCAACCTTTAAAAGTCAACTTATACAAAGATTCATAGATGAAGAACTGTAAAGTTGATTGCAAAGGTGCTGATCGAATGAAGATAAAAATTTGGCCTTTTTTTTTGCGATGGACCCAACTCGAATCGCACTTTTGAAGGTAATTTTTAATACTAAAAGAAACAAATGGTCATTTTTAAAACTAATTCCTAGATAAACCAAGTTACAGTCTTGCAATTGTAACTGGGTTTATCTAAGAAAACTAATTGAGTTACAGTCTTGCAATTGTAACTCAATTAATAAATAAAATTCAGGCGCCGAGATCAAACGGAACATCTACAAGTCATTTACGAGCCGATCTTGTCGTCATTGCGTGACTCTCAGTGTGGAGATTTGGACATTGATATAGGAATGGAAATGTTATTGGGTTTGTCTTTCGTCTTCTTACGGTCTTTCACGCTTTTTCATCTTATTTCTTCTCTGGTTCCTTCTTTTTCCTTTCTCCTTCTTAAGTT